TCTGGACAAATCGGGAGCGAAGGCGTGTGCTTAAGTCAACGAAGGTGGTTCCCGGGGAATAGAAGTCAACTTCAAATCGTTTGCAAAGATTGACGTCCGGTTCGGCTAAAACGTAGATGATGGCTAGTGCGAAGGTGACACACACGGTGCACCCCTAATCGTTTTTTGACAGCTGTAGTTAGAAACAGCAAGACCATATGCGAAATCGCAGCGAAATTATGGGATCACTAGCATTAATTTGTATGCAACGTCTGTTAAACATCCTACAACCACCAGGAACATTTTGAATGCTTTCAATTTCAACGAGACTTATTTTGGCGATGCAATGACACGAGTCAGTCACTGTTTGGATGCAAAATACTTGCTTTTTATTTTAATTGCCTCTTTTTTAAAATGGAGCCGTCATGTCTAGCATTTGATTCCCTCACAAAGTTGTTCAGTTGCCTTGACAGCCTCTGTCCGTAATTACGTTTCATCCTGCCATAATTCATCAAATGTCTGAATGGTCAGAGCTCTCAGTGGTGATTACATCTAAGTAGCCGTTGGTGAACCCGTCGAAGGGAGGAGAAGAAAGCTTCATCGCTTGCATCGAAGGAAGGATTCTTCAACTACTGATCCCAACATCCACCCAAGCTACAATGTTGAGGAGGTGGCGAGTCAACGAGCCCAATTTGTGGTTTCAAGGCATGATGTGCCTCAATGCATTGATGGAGGAAAATCAACAGAAGGAAACAATTAGGGTGGGTGGACCCATCGCCAGTCTGCGGCAGGCAGTTACCATAACTGAACAACTCCGACTGCAATTACGGCATTCTCTTTAATTTTCTTCCCAAAAATGTTAGGTAGACACCAGAAATGAATGTCCTCTTGGCGAATCGGCACATGTAGGCTTGTTACTTTTAAACACAAAAAAGGTCTTGTAAGGCTTACGAGAAGGTGTTTCAATATGCATCGTAAACCTGTTTCAGTGGTTACACAAAAATGGCCTCTTACCTTTTCCACCCAAAGTCAACTTTCACATTTGTCAGCCGCCTCAGCACCTTCTGACTCACTTAAGAAGGCAAATAATTTCTCGGACTGCATAAACTGTGTAAGATTGCTTTTCATCACACACAACATCACCACGGCTCATTTGTTTACTGCTTAAATTATAAGCTAAATGTCTGCGTTCAAATGTCTTCAACTGGTATTTGTGAAAAAAAGCAACAGTTTAACAACCCCTCAAATAAACCTAAACTAAACTGATGAGAACGAAAGCAGCACTTACGGAAGGGGTGGTGCGTTTTCGGCTCAGCTCCAGCGTCTTCTCCACGTTCTGCAGTAAAAAAAGGGTGTGAGATGCAAGCAGAAGACTTTCGCTTCATTAGGTGACAGATTTAGCACAAAGTCAAGAATAGACATTCAACAGATTTCATTGCCTATGAACTGTTTTTTTACTATACTTTGTCAAAAAAGGTAATGAGAGAAGTAGGATTGAAAAATAATGCTCTAAAGACCCACAAATAAGCCAGTTTATGGGCAAATAAGTGCCAAAGGCATAACAATAATGAAGCCTACTCAAACTGTCTTCTTTCTTCGCCTCTGGAGCATCGTCTGCGCCTGTAATGTGATGTATGGAAAAAAATTGCCATTAAAACTCGCTCCTACTTATCATATGTAATACGTTTTATAGCAAAAACGTTGTAAAGTCATTGACAAACGCCCCACCTGATGAGTTTTCATCGCCACCATCAACAGTCTTTTCACCTTTAAGAAGTAAAAAAAATGGAGATGGCATTTAGCCTTGGCGATAAGGATATGTCGAAAGCGAAGACGGACGTAGTGGTGAGGATCTGCCTCTATCCACAAGGCTTCTAAGTTATCAGGCCACAACTCCAATTTTTAAAAGGCCTTTTTAGTAAAGGTAATTTGTTTGGGTTGAACAAATGCACTGTTCACCTTCAATGACCGGTAAGAACCTGTTTTTAGAACTTAAAAGGGAGCAGCAAGCTACTTTTGATGCGCATGAAAGCGATATGCAATTCTTTTATCGGACTCTACCTTCTTGATTGCCTCCTTACCTGAGGTAAAATAAGTCTTTTGAGTGTGTAAACCCACCTGAAGCAGCCAGCACTTCTTCCATTTACTTGTTCATCTGTAGAAAGGTTGTAAATGACTACTCTGATTGATTACTTAAAAGCAGTGACAACTACTAACAATCTGTTGTATAAGAAAAGGTGAGTAAAAGGAGGCGCATGCTGGTCTCTCTATTTCCACAGTTCACCAGAGACACAGAATGCGTAAAGACTTCTTTTCGCCTCACGGTTTAATAAAAGCCAAAGTTATGGCGACATGATTCAGATCGGTACAGCGGCCCGACCCAAATTCGTCCTTAGATCAAGGCAATCGCTTAACAAGAAGAACATTCATAGCAAAGTCTTATTAGTTCATAGCTAATGGCCACCGTCATAAGTATGGAACATTACAATACAGCCATCAAAACGCTTCACAAACAGAGACAAAGATTTTAATTTGGCATTAAATAGGAAACCGCACTTGAACTTACCTTCATTTTCCACTCCAAATTCCGTCGAAGCAATTGTTGGTGGAGCTTTTCTACCATGCTCCAACTCCCACATAAAACATCGTAAATTCAATTCAGATAGTACTGAGGCCCCGTAGATTATTCGTCCGCCAGGAAGAGTCTTTGACAACTCTGGGCTGCGCTCTGTGAAGGTACCAAAGGCCAGGAATGGCGAGCAGACAATATCGCCCCAGTAGCCTATTAGTGTTGATCCGCCCAGATCACCGGAACACTGACTGTGTGAAAAGTAGCGAGGTGAGGCAAGACTTCTATTGGGAGAAAGGTAACTGGCTTGGCGGGGAGTAAAGGCAACCCCTGTACTACGCCATCGGCTGTACTCACGGCTGTCAATTGTTTTGACCTAAAATATTAATTAATGTCATTATAATGGTCCCCAACAGGAAAGGAAAGTAGTGAGAAAACAAAGGCAGTGATATGAAGCTATGAGAGAAAGAGTTTTCGCACACACATTAGATTTTGCAGAATGGGCGGGAATTACAAAAACGGATATCACAGAACATTTCTGTCTCTTTTTTAAATAAGGACATGACAATAAATCACAATTTCTCGCATGCAGTTGAGGCCTATTTTGTTAAAATATTCCATTTTAGATGCGAATAAGAAGGGAATCCAGAATAAACGAAGAGCATACGTACACCTCGATCTCGAAGGACAATGGAACAGTCCCAATCAAAGACATTTGGAATAGCATCGTAACGTACCCCAAGATGCTGTCGAACTCTCGAGTTCCTTTAAGAAGAAAATAACAAATTACTACAAAAATCGTTTAATTCACGGCATGACTTGTGGCAACCTACCAATAAGTGGAAATATCGAATTTGGGAAGATTTTTCCGTCGCCACGACTTAAACACGCACTCCAGATGATCACGCTCCTTGGATTTTAATTTATTCACCGATATTTTAGGAAATGTTTCATAAAAGACGCCCGTGTCAGTGATTGTACTTAAGAAATTATGGAAAACCTCCACTTTTACTTGATAAAATGGGTCGCAATGCCATCCAACCAAGTTTCAGTCGTCTCGCGTATAAGCGTATTCCCGTATAATTCAAGAAAAATATCAGTTTTGTCTTTAATAAGGTATATTGCTGCGTAAGAATCACTTTACCTTGAAGTCCCATATCTTTATTTGGAATTCCAACAGTATATAATTGCAAGATTTGCCGAGCAACCAATTCAATATTCCTTTCGAACATATCAAACTGCTGTTATCCAATTGTATATAATATTACTTTGTATAAATGCTTGCTGTTTATAGATTGGGAAACAGTTTTTATTATGTGGCGAGCATCTCCCATACCAAAGCAAAAAACATTAACTGATGATCGAAAACAGTAAGGAGAGTTACTTGTGTCGCATTCACATAAGTAATTATTCAATAAATTTATGGCAGGACTCAAACCCCACCAGGCGATATACCCCAAAGCCTCAGAGTCGTTGGAGAACATAACTTCCAAGGTTAAAAACTCGCCATTGGGTAGATATAGCAACGAACAACTTAAAAAGGCTTGTGAGTTTAAGGTTCGGTTTATTTATACAAACTTACAGTGGCGCAGATCTGATAGATGATTCTAGCAAAAACTCTTTTTGACGCTTGTGAGTTCATGTAAATTTGGTAAGATTACCAGATTCAGGTTAATACTTAAAACCTCAAGACTACTTTGATGTGTTGATTGTTTCAGTGCATTTATGAATGGTGGCCGTTAGTAGCCACATCGATTTTAACTTGTAAAATAGCCCTATAATCCGGTGACTGTCTCTTTTTCAATCCCTGCTATGTGGGAGGACACTATACTTGATTTTAAAAAAAATTATTTTGGGATGAGAAGGGATTGAGCTTTCGCTTGGACTAAAGGCCAGTTTCTGCATACAAGGGTAGAATGGTGCCACCAGCGCTTTCTTTAGTTCATGACCTACGCCAGATATCACAACATATCCAGTGCGTCAAGAAATCATCCCCGAGCCAGCTGTTTAAAGACCCGAATCGTACAGTGGAACTATTGTTGACTTTGGAACACTGGCGTAACAGATGCTTAGCAGCGAAATCCGATCATTTTCCTATGGAGGGGGATTGGTTCATGGCCTCTTTAGCATTTGTGCGCTGCTGTGGTAGATGGGATCCCCAGTATAAAGCGTGCTTGAGTGACTTACAATATATTGCAATATATTGGCTGTAAGATACAAGGGAAAAGTGAAGATAAATGCCGGCATTGCTCTCAACTCTGTAATGCTTTGTTTATGCGACTATCTGACGTTTGACGGTCACTTTAGCACTTGTCTGGGTCCTGTACACGTGGGCTGGCCTTCAAGCCACGCTCAGGCCCCATTTCTCCTATTGCTTTTGGAATACATGTATTAAACCCCATTTATGCCTTCTACTACCCCATTGGAAGCCTCGGGATGCTACAAACTCTTTTGTAAAATAATATAAAATCGCTCACCCTACGTATATGCACTTTCTTCGCACCGTAACCATGTCACAAATTGTGAACGGTAGGGTGGAATTCGGGTTTGTATTTCGCCGCTACCCGCGTAGTAAATTAAGACTTCTCTCTAGGACAAAGTAAGCAATAGGAAGGGTTAAAAATCCGTATAATGAGGAAGAATTATGAAAGATGAAGCTTTATCCCATCCCGATGACCGGCTTACACGGACCAGAAAAGATGGAATACAAAATAATTCCCAGTCGTACCAATGGTTAAATTAGAAATTCTTAAGAACAATCTAAAATATGAGCTTAGAGCAGAGCTTAATATATCCTATGATACTTTGCAAATGTAACCATCTTACGTCTGACGGGCCATGTCCACCTTCTTTCCTAAATAAACATGTATTCTAGCTAATGTAATGTTAATATATGTGCTGCGTTTAAGGTATCCTCATACGGAGGGTGGTTAATCACTTCAAACACAAAGAAATTCTCCATACTGTAAAGGATGCCTAATATACCCTTCTCAAACAATACCTTTATGTAGCCAGAGGTTTTAGAGCCTAAGGATAAGCTGGGAATTCATGCTTTAGCGTCCCAGGACTTCCTGCAGGGTGAAGGAAGATATTAAGTGAGTCTGAATGCGTGTAGCCTAGGAAGAGCAAAGGAAGTAAGCATAAACTTGGTCCGAAGTCCAGCCCACGCGTGCAGGGGCTATGCAAATCTTAAAGTAATGCCGAATGCCTAGTTGGATGTCCTCTCGGACCAATGCACAACATACTTCTCTTATTATTGCAGAGTCCTGTGACTTCACACAAGCATTAATTTTAAGTCAGTGGAGAGAAAATGAAAAAAATCTTAGCCTGAACTTGGTTTAAAAGCTATCCCACGCAATCAGAGACCGTACGAAATCAAAAGTAATAGCCAGACACCAGGTGATCACAAAAACAGTGTTATATCCATACTGCAGCGTCCAATTAATCGTCGAAAGAGCAAAAATCACTTAGAATTTGCGGTCAGCAAAGAGTAGCATAGTGACACAATGTTACTAATGTCACTACCTGTGGAAATTTTGGGCACGTTGCAATCGCCAAAAACCATGAAGATTCGAACAATAAATTTCGCGCAAACTTATAATATTTATATAAATTAATTTTTCATTGTGATAAACTAAGACTATTAATCTGCATATAGTTTGTTATCAATTTTTGTTTTAACCTCTAAATTGCATCTGGTATATGTGGGATGAGGGAGCGGGTAATGTGAAGCTGTCGTTCGTCCTTGAATCTCGGTGGTCGCGATGCAGAGTTTGTTTCAAAGTCATCCATATTCAACCCGTGTTGGCACGCTCATTGGTAAGTTTATCTTCGCTATAGGTATAAGGTGTTAGTCATCTATTCCGACATTTTTGACGTCTGGCATTCGTACGTTGTTGGTTTTTAGGGCTTGTAGGTTTTCGATAGTTTTTACGTGAGGTGTGCTGTTAAAATTTGCTGATATTTGATCTTTCTACCTTCGTATTGATTGATGGCTTATTCTCTTTCTGTCTGGTAAGTCTTGAAGCAGCCGCACTCCTTATTCATTGTAGTATTGGTATTTTTGTATGCTGGCCATCGTGTGCGCAGTCGCTTGTTACTGGTTCTAGTTACTTACCAATAACATTGGAAACCGTTTTATAGTTCTTGCAAATAATTCGTCACATCTTGGCTTTGCACTTTTGGGCTCATTTTTGATTAATACTTCAAGTTTCCGTTACAGAACGCGTCACTGATAGTGGAAAGTTGGCAATCGACTGGACCATTGTACTGGAGATCTGTGATGCTTTGGGTGAAACGGATGAAGGGTAAATTCCTTTTTTCCCCCATTTTCTTCTTGATTAGGCCAAAGGAAGCAATTCGTGCTATTCGAAAGCGCCTAACCTCTTCAGCTGGCAAGGACCACATAAGTATTTGGTACACCCTTATTCTCATTGAGGCCTGTCTTAAAAACTGCGGTCGACGTTTTCAAGCCCAGGTTGCCAATCGTGATTTTCTTCATGATCTCATCAAAGTTCTCCTTCCCAAACACAATCCTCCGATCCAGCTGCAAACTAAGATTTTATTTCTTATCAAGGTATGGATAGGTCCATTGGTATGATCATTTGAATATCTGCAACTGCTGTCACTAGTGTGATCCTGTAATTAACCTAGTCATGGGTCGATGCGTCTTGGGACGTTCCCGGGCGGCGCGATTTGGAAAAGGTTTACACTGCACTCAGAAGAAAGGGTGTCCAATTTCCCAATTCGATCGATTGTAAAACTCTCCCTCCGCCGCAACAATCCTCTGCAGTGAGTTTACTTCCACCTCCCCCTGCGAGCCTTTTTTAATATAAATGTATAGTCTACGTTTTAACTGATTTCGTCTGCATCTTATTTAAGTGTTAAGGCGCAGAAGATTGTTAAAATAAAATTTTTTCTACCTCCTAACTGCAGTCATCCACAGTGAAATTCCACCTCGGTTCTGATTGGCTGAACGATGGACCAATTAAATTGCCCCATGGGCTGAGTTATGATTTATGGATCCGCCGGGGTAGGAGGAGGCATTTGACATTTTTCATTTGTGGTCGATGGTACATTATCCCAGTCGATTGTTTGAAACCGCGGCCCTCCATTCAGTTTAAAGCTAGTCTTACTTTTACTTATTCAATTTTAAAAATGACTTCTACACCAAAAATACCTATTAATTGATTTATTGGACACTGAAGTTAGAGGCTGACAATTAGGAATTTTTCATCTCAAATTTCTGGATGATAAACTCATTTGTCTTTGGGCATAAATGCTCATTGATCTTCTTTACTGACTGGATCACTCCTGAAGCAGATGAAAACGGATATTTGGTACTTAAGCAGACCATTTAGGCCAATAAATTAGTGGCACTATGTGCTTTGCCAGTTCGTAAGTCTTTGCATGCCTTCTCTTCTTCTTTACACATGATACTGCTTTCCATCAAATCTAAAGCAAATAGCAATGCTAGAACCTTGTGGTTTATGTGAGAAGATAGCCTTCAGGGAAAAAGGCAAGCACAGATGATCTTGACAACAAAGTGCGCAATACAAGCTGCTGTAAACCTGTACGCTACACTCTGACTAAGATGGCAACCATGTATGTAAGGGACGTTAAGCCTTCGTGGTTGAATTTGGCAGGCCAACGTTCGTTGCACCGAGTGCCTTTCTGGAGCATTTTCTTACGCTTAAGTAATCGCTTTTAGAGGTTATACATCTTTAAAACTATGGAAATTCAGAAATTTTACGACTGTGTATCAATCCTTCCATATATTTTCTTTTGGTCATTGTTGCCTGAACTAGTAAAACCATCTCCTCTCCCTCCTCCCCTCATAAATGTTCAAGTGGTTGCTTTGTGTCTATTAATAGCACAGCCATCTGGAAGCTTTTTGCATCATTTATTCCTCTTGCTCTCCCTCCCTTCTTCTATCGTCTCTCTAAAGCGTCAGCGTCCACTCCACGGAGAAGAACCGCACACCTTAGACACGCGGCAACGTATGTACAAATTGCTCATTTTACACCAGTCTTCGTGGCTATTTACTTTGTCGTAAAGCAAGAGAGGGAGAGAGTATCGCCACTTTTTAGTCGCCGATGTGTACACGCGGTGCTTTTTTGTGTCTTTGTTGTAAACTGCGCTACGCATATGAAAAATATGCGCTTCTGCTACTACAGTCACTTTCTGTGGAGAAGGCGAAAAGGCGCTTTTGGAAGGTAGTTTTAATAAATTTAGGCGAAAGAAATCGGAGTTTTCTTATCGTCTTTTCTGACAGTCGCTGACTCAAAGTTACGGGAGAAGACACATTCTTAAGGCAGAAGGCGCCACTTTCCTGGGTAACAATCATTTTAAAATACTTCCCTTTTTGATTGGCTGGTTGAATGGTCTTCAATTTGCATTTTATCCAGAGCATGGCGGCACAAATGCGCGACACATTTGTCTTCATGATTGTAGATAATTATGTACCTTTTTTGTTTTTATGAGGTAAACCTCTAGAACGAGCATTTTAATTGTGGACTGGACTGTGGTAGTCCGTTTTACCCTGGAGGCACAGTTAACTTGTAGTTAGGTAGGCTTTGCGCCTCCTGCTAACCGTAACCTAACCCAATGGAAGGAAAAAGCCTACAAGGTTGTGCATTGGTGACTACCTCTGTTCTTGCGCAAATAACACCTTTATACCGTGTGGTTGAATTATTTAGAACCCTTTCCACTTGATGTCCGCTTCACGAACCAATGATATCCCTCCTCCCAAGGTTATTTCGATGGTGTGTTTTCTTTTTTTTCCTCAGTGTGTGTGTCTTCTCCCGCCCCGTTGCCACCTTTTGTGTAACTCTGCTTAAGGAGGTAAAACAACAGGAGGCTGGCAAAGCTATGTGTATTGGTAGGTGAGGCACACGGAAACTGTTTCTAGCATTTCCTACCCTCCAATTACTGGTGCACTCTGGCCGAGCTTTTGTTATTCCATCTACCTCTGCCTCTTATTTACCGTCTAGATGAAACGACCCGTCTCATCAGGCACTGCATCCCGTTCCACCAAATTGGCCAGCACATTTCGTCGGCTCACGAGTGGAGTAAGTTTGCAGATTCAACATGGCTTTTGACTGTGCTCTGTCTCTTCGCCTTTTCTGCTACCCAATTATGACACCAAAATATCGGTGTAGGTGTAAGAAATGCCTCCTTCCTCTGCTTGTTTTAATATCATATTTTCTTGGACTCTTTCGTCTCAGAGGTGTGCGTCTTGAATGAGTCTAAAACAATCTACTGGATGCAGCATCCTCTGAGTGCGGAATAGGCAATGGACACTTGTCCAGTTCTTATATATATTTTTTTCGAAGAACTAATTTGACGTCGACTGGTAAAAAGTTTGTGGCTTGTGTTACCTAGCTTTCTAACAAAAGGCCTTCCATAGCCTCCTGAGGGGTTAGGAATGGATTACCTGTTTAAAGCATTGCCCTTGGGAATGAACTCACGCTTTTGTCGTCGGAATGATGCGGTACGGTTGTCAGCGTTACTCGCTGCTGATTCAGTAGTATGTTGAAGGAGGGAATTGAGATGCCCGAAAGTTTTAGTAGTCGTGGCAGCGAGTCGCATCATCTGACTTAAATTCTTCTTCATTTTTCCCTTCTAGTTTGTAAGCGCATCTGTAGTTCTCGGTTTTTTGAACTGTGAGAAGGCGATGTTATCCAGTTTTTACTCACAAATGGAAAATGATTATAATAGTAGCCTTCAGATTGGATTACACTTTCTGATACCTAACTTTCTTATTAACGATTTGATTTCCTTTGCACATCACAAATCAGTAGTTAAGGTTTCTATGTTTCTGTTTTATTTATTCCTAGAATTTAAGTCCTAAACAAAAGCAGATAGTTTTTGTCTAAAGACAGCTTGTTGGAAAACAATCAAACAATTGGTAAGGTTACCTCCCTCAATTTCTCGCCTTCTTTGTCTTTGTCATAGCTAATGGAAAGACGCTTTTGTTCCCTTCAATTCGTTTGTCATCAGCTAAAATGTAAGGCTATGGTTAACTTAGTGGGTAGCAGGAAGGAGGTGAAGGAGACAGGTTCTGGAAAGTTTTTGACGCCGCTGTCTAATTGATGCTGTGAATAGCATGGGTAACTTAAAAACACTTCCATGCTCCTCGCCTTCCTTCCTACTCCACCACTATGGTCTTTGACAGCCAGTCTACCCCCCTTTCAAATAAGGAAATAAACTTCTCTTTGGAAAAGGGATCTGGAGGCTCAATTCAAGGGACCTTTGGGAGGTGAGCTTGAGGTGTGGCACTACTGGAATACTCTTCATAGTATTTTACTGAATGTCTACAGGAGGGTTTTAAAATCCGGCTGTTTCGATCTCAACAAGTCTTCCAAGGAATCCGCTACCACCTGTACTACAAGCAAGAAAGGATCTGCAATGAAGTTGTCTTTGAATGCTATCAGGTGATGAGGATTAGCACTGAAGCTTGGGTTAAACTTGATAAACATGGTGCCTTTTGTTGGATAGATCCTTCTCAGGACAGGTTGATTTGGAAGGTGTAGGCAGCCAGCCAGCTTCAACAAACTTAGTGTGAGGGCTTCTTCACTCTTCCTCCCTAGTATGATAGCCAAGCAACACCTTCCCTTCGATGGACTGAGCCCCTCACTACCATCACTCTGGCAAGTTGAGGCATTCTGTGCTAGAAGAAGTTGCGGGGTTGGGGACATTAAGCCAACTTGAGAAAATACCAAGACGTGGAGGGAATTCCCCAAGGGTGTTGTGTAATTAAATAAACATTAGTAGGCAAAAGTGGAGGAATTTGGCATCACCGAAAGAAGTAGTGTGGTGACCCTCCATCAGATGTCACTTGTCAACTTAAGTGCACTTAAAGGTGGGCGTCAAAAGCATGTGTTCTTGGGAGGAGGAAGCGTTCCTCTCTCCATTTCACTGTTTGCTATCCCTCCTTTCCCCGCCTAACGCGTTTGTGTCCTCAAAATTGACGTTTCATAGAAATGATGGGGATCTTCTACAGGAGGGCGAAAACTTCCTTTTTTATGGGTAGTCAGAAGTGAAAGGCTGGCTTCTCTCACATACTCCTTCCCGCTCTGTTTCTATTTATCCGTCAAGAGTCAAGTATTTCTGCCTATCATGAAGTGATAATTTGTTTATGGATTTGCACGTACCTCTGGTAAATTAAGGGAATAGCTTCAATGCACAAACTATTCGTGGCTTTTCATTTGACGAATTCATTCTCCAAAGGTGGAAAAGTTGATGCTGATTTACTCGATGAATGGCCTTGGAATACCGACCAATTTCGCAAGATTGTAGATGGGTGGGCACAGAATCGAGTCTTCCCCTCTGTATCCATTTTTAACTCTCTCTCTCTCTCAGGCTGAATGGCGGCTTGATGGATGGAACAGCTGAGCGTCTCTGGCTGACGAATTAAGTTGACATCGCTTGATGTGGTTTTGAATCTCTGCGCCACTTTTTTATGGGCTAAGGATATAACCAAACAGGTTTGGTTTGATCGACTAACTTCTTTGTTGCTGCAAGAAGGATCTCCTTTTGGCATTCACAAGTAATCACGTCTAGCTACTTACTAAAAAAGTGATATCTCCTTTTTTTCATCCATCACAGTTGGAAAGTTGCAGCTGTTGACAGTGTGACCTGTGATGGAGGTGGGTAATTTTCACGCAGCCTTCACATTATGAGCCCCCCAGTAAGCTATTCTCTTTTAGATACAGAAGGAGTGGAGAAGATCGTCTGTACGAAATTAATTGTATGGAAAAGTAGTCAGGATGAGCTTCTCTGGCGAAACCTCCCACATGTAAGAAAATTTGTGCTTAGGGATGAAATATAGGGCTGTCTTCTCATGTTTTCCAACTTGTTCCAAGTTTCTCCCAGACGTTGTCACATTCGTCAATTAAACACAAGACAGCTATTTGGGGATAGCGAAGAGCAGTGACTAAGCTGTTCGTCTCTCATTCGCAGCAATGATGCAAGAACAGGAGGGTTTGATGTGCTATCATCCAAAACGCCGCGGAGGTGATACTCGAAAATTTTGGCACATACCGCTGGTGGAAGGCTAACAATTTTATTAATCTTGGCTGTTTATGATTATGCTTTGCAGGTGGAGCCTCACAGGGTGCATGTCACTCACTCATTAAGCTGCTGACATGCTGCACGTTGAAGAAAGCGTGAAAGAGGCCTAATTGTCCTATCTTGTCTCATTCCTTTGTTGATTGGTCGGTTTTGGCCACATTGGAAATCCTCTCTAAAGACCATCACCATTGATTGAGGTCAAAAGTAAAGGTCTGTTTATTAAGTTTGGGTTTTTTGTTTCAGTGCGCAGCAATTGTTTTTCCATGCTTGTAGTTGTTATGGGAGTCTCTCCCTCACCACCGTTCCCAGCTCTGCGGAGAGGTCTGTGTGAACAGCAACTTATAACATTGTGCACACTTTTAGCTTCTGCGTATTTCGTGAATTGGCTTGACTCTACTGGCAAACTGTTTTACAATTGCTTTTTCGCTTTTTAGGTTTTGAAGTAGTTCATACGAAAGTCTGAATTAATGATTTGTGTTCTGAAGAAAATTCACTAAATTTTAACTGACTTGAGACCTTGGAAGTGCTCTGTGAATGCCTAAGTTTGTGTCTCCGAAAAAGCCTTTTAAATTTGCAACTTGTGCAGGCGAAATTGTGCGAAAATTCTATTTTGAAGTTTTATTTTTTTAAAAAGGTGTCTGGAAAATTAATTTATCATTAAAGCAGGCTCGTACTTTCCATCACAGAGCCTGCAATTTCGTTTCCTCTCCAACTGTCAATCGTAGAAGGGTATTTGGAGTTTTTCCTGCCTCACTTTTATTGGGCGAAAAGGGGAGATCCTCTCTCTCTGTTTCCTTTCCCACAACTCGGTTGACTTATTGTCCAATATTAAAATTATTCCTCTTCTGCCTCCCCAGCCCCCAATTCATGCTCTCCTGCCGGCGTCCGTGTTGGTGCCATCTGCCTTCACTGCATCGATTTGAAGTGTTGTGACAGCGTCTTCGCTCCACTTGGCTGGGGGGAGGCTAAAATTTGTCCCTTTTTTTGCAAAAATGAAAGACGAAAACAAACAGGTCACCGCTGGGTGATTAACACCGCATTAACATATGTGCGTGTATGATCCCACTGGATTTGCCATCCCTTGAATTTGTGGGTGGCTCTCCACAAGAGCGACTTACTGACTACTTGAACGTGTCTACGTCTTAAGCATTACCAAGTCTGTGTCGGGAAATTCTATAAGGGTATGGATTCCAAATTAGAAGAATCATTGAGAGTTGGTATTATCAAACCAACAAGGGCAGTTAAATCAACTTTCCATATTTAACGAACTATTGGAAAGGAGAGTGTGCTGCGAAGACCCAGAGCCGATTTTAGAGCCTCGTCAAATTGCCACATTTTCGCTTTTTATGAGAACTTTCGTCCAGTTGTAGATCATTCTCTATGGAGAAAAAAGGAGAACAACTTTCAAGGAGACAAAAGCCATGTGAACCCTTCAACCTCTTTCCTTTGCTTTGCTTCACCTCATTAACGATCATAATTATGCCTAATTTTATTCCCCTCCCTGATGTGACTCATCGCGTGCCCCTTTTCCCTATAAAACTTTTTTTCCCGCGCACTAAGTACTAAAAGAGAATTGAATGGCCGGGTACATCTAGCCTCTCTGCCATCAAAACTATCATTGGGTTACTGTGCAAGTTGCAGTTCACTCGCATCTAGGAGAGACTAGGAGACCTAGTCGTGGTGCGTGAGAGCTTTGTCCTCTTAAAGCGAATGTTGGGGATTTTCGGTTGAATTAAAAATTTTACCTCAATATCTGAGAAATCAACTTTAATCATTTAGGCTCTTGGTGGTGGCGGCGATGGCCGAAGTAAGACACACTCCTCATCTCTGTTGCAAAATCGTGCTGAGGACCCTCGACGTTGCCATTACCATCAACACCAACAACAGAGTTCATCAACTTCGCATCTTCAACGTGTTGGAACTTCCGAATCACCCGGTAAGCGAAACTCCTTCTTGATGGCTGAGCCTCACAAGTTGATGCCTATGAATCCTCCACCTTTGGTTTTGAAATAAGGGAGAGGAGGGCTATTTGATCCAAAAGCATGCCTCAAATGCAGTACCCTAGTTTTTTCCCCGACTAGGAGTGATCTCTCAGGAGTGGACGCCACACGGTTGTTCTATGCTCTCACTCCCTGTCCTGGCCCAGTTGACTCTTGAGTTGTTTGTAAACCACTTTGAGTAGAAATGACCACACCTACTGCCATATTTCAGGTTCTCTTGACCGACGTCATGCCTTTGGTGTCACCCACTTTTAAACAGTGTGCGACACCTCACCAAAAGCAACAGACTGTCATAGAGGCAGTAACGATGTGATAGTCTACCTCTTCCCCTCTCACATTCTGACTAATTTATTCATTATTTAGCCATTTGTAGCCTCTTAACCTTCCTCCATCTACTTACTTTTAGCCCTTCAAGTAATAATCCTATTGCTGCAACAAAGTTTTCTTTGATTCATTTTGAAGTAGGAAAGTCTGAGCTGGCTGATGATCGGCAATAAGTTAGAGGCAGGAAATTATGAAGACTACAACTTCTAGGTACTCAAATGTTATGCGATCCCCTGTCTCGTTGTTGCGCCGTTTCTTGTGTTTTTGAGGGTCAAAATTCTTGGCTTTCAGGTACTGACTAGTCCTCCATTTCGGTAGATTCGATACTTTTTTAAGAATGCAAAAGTTAAAAGAGGACTTTTGATGCTGTTATTGTGTCGATTTTGCTGGAGTGAATTACCAGAATATGCCTAGATGACAGGACCCAGTTCATTCAAGCTTTCGTCTTCTTGTTTATGGCTGTCTTATAAAAGAAATGTTCGATCAAGTTCCACTTCCTCGCTTCCTTTCTTTCCCTCCTTATATAGAAGATTTGAGGTGAATTTACGCACTTTTCACTTTTTTCCGTGAGGCGACGGCATTAAAAAGTCAAGTAGCGTAGAAACCGCCTTCATTTTGTTTCCAACTTCCGCTTGTCTATAGCTCAGATATTCATTTTTCCCCGTTTTTACAACTTGAAGAAATAAACCTTTCCTCTTTTAGGCATAAAGTTGTGCTCGATTAGAGGGCAGCATTGAGCCCCGCCTTTCATTCACTCACCTACCTTGGAGCTCTAACGCACTTTCCTTACCTTTCTTTTCCTAAAAGCATCAGCATTTCAAATAATTTATTTTTTCTGATAGATTCTTCCTGTAATTTGTCATTTTCCTCCCTCTCTTGTCTGCATTTATGAATCCGCTGGGAGTCCTCAACTAATTAGACAAACGCAATTCTCCCCACCTGTCGTGGTCGAGCTTTTGTCAAGTCGGATGAAGGAGGGAGGAGGAGGAAGGGAAGAAGAGAATAAATAAAATAACCCCTACTAATTAGTGCCTTAACTTATTTCATCCACAGAAATAACAAAACTGTATTTGTCTTCCTGACCATCCACTCCTGAGCGTTACAAAGTGAAGACGTTCTCGAATACTCTTCACGAATGTTAAGTTATATACTTGGCCAGTTAATGTCAGGTCACATGAATCAAAAGAAAGAGAAGAAGTGGAGAGATATGACATGATTTTATGTTCGTCTTTAATCAACTGGCGTTGGTTACGATAGTTCTAAGCCAAAAGGTGAACTTCTTTTTGTCATGTTTGATAGCACTCCTTCTCTCCCCTTACCTGAAAAGGCGTTTAGGTGACATTGAGGAGTCTCCTCACTTCAACATCTTGCAGAAAAAGCCAGATCCTACATTAGGAGCGCTAGTCAGTGATATTGCCACTTCATGTTTTCCTACCTCTTTCTGTGTCCCATGCTTCTCTCTCCCGATAAGAGATTCTATTGGTGTGACTTTTAGGGCACCCCGTTCATGTATCTCAGGAAATCGTCCAGATTTTTTTACCAAAATATTTTAATGATTTTACTTAAAATCACATGAGGCAGTTTCTGTCCGAATCCTGTCTGGAGGAGGTGATAGAACACCAGCGGGCAAAGCAGATAATAGGATTGTCAAAAATAGCTCGTACTGCAGTTCGGGATAAGACCAGTTGCATTGGCATAGAATGTAGTGAAGGAAAAACACTGGCTACGAATGTTTACTTTCGGGAAATGGATTTGATTTGCCAAACTCCCTGTCATAAGGCTCTTCCAATCATCACTCTCCATACCTATCCAATTCATGCACAGCTTCAGTTCTTTAAAACGGCCTCCTCTGTGGTTGCTGCCAATGGCTGACGAAATTGTTCGTCTGCAAAAGTTCAAAAATGCATTCTGACAGCATTTAAAGATCGTCAGTCAGTTGGAGGGCAAACGTCTGTCCGTGATGCTGTATTCTCTTCCCCCCCCCTTCCCCCTACAGTCACGTTCTCTTCAATGATAATTTTTTACTCTTGATGGATGTCGCATTTTATTTAGCACCGCACTACCATTATAAATCGGATAGAAAATGGGAGAGCTGTTTCTAAAACTAAATGAAAATGGAAGTATTGGAGGCGAAGAGAGGAGATTTATTTGCTTGCTAGAACTAAAGAGGTCTAGATAAGAAAAGAAAGCTTTTGTGCCATTGTAAAGAAAGGCACTGAGTTATGAAGCTGTTCTGTACGTTGGCGGTTTGCTGGTTTTGTCGTCAAAACTCTACTTTTTTGAGTTTCCCCATTGTTATCTCTCTCTTCAGAGCTATCCTTGTAAGGTGTAATCAGTCACTAAGCTTAGTTTGGAACAACAGAATAAACATTCCAGGAAAGGATGCTACTTTGTAAGACAGTAAGTAGTATGTGACACAGGTGTAAACGTTTTGCATGGAAAAAGTAGCACTGACAATACCAAAATTCGACGTAGCATATTGAATTTTTGAATATTGCAGTGTTGTATATTGTCCTACAAATTGATTGTCCCGTAATTTGAAGCCTCGTCACTATCCCCCACAATCCTGTCTGAGTTTTGCGCTTTGCACAGCGAAGTGCATCTGTCCCGTGGGTGTACTTTTAATACGATTCGACTATTCGTGTTCCAAGCATGTGGCAAGTCCGCTGACGCATATGTGTTGCATCCATTTGGCAGTTTTCCATGACGGAGATTTGGATACCTTATTAGAGAAAGAGAAGGAGAGAGAGAGAGAAAAGTTTTAAAGCTCTGTTTTCGGCCTTCGTCGATTCAAGGAGTCGGAATTTTTTCAGATATGCAGATCGGCAGGCAGGTTCGCCTGCTACCATCTTTCGACCGGAGTCAGAAAAATGATTTTTGTTTCTTTTCACTTACCCTCTGGTGCTATTTGTCTTTTTCGTAACTGCAAAACCATATTTTTTTTTCTGGCTCAAAGCTCGAGTGAATGTTGAACCAACAAGATGCATTCTTCTTGTCCCGCTTAGCGCATCCGCCTATACCAAATTGCAGTGGTTTCCGAACTTTTAGTTTTTATCTAAAAAGGAAGCAATTAGAGCTTTTCATTGAATCTGCAAGTTTCATTTTTCTTAATCCATTTTGTTTCAGTGACAAACCGAGCTCGAGATGGGGGTCACCCAATTAGGATCCGCAGTGGAGGTAACAGTGGCACCGGTGGGGTCGAACACGGAACTCAAGTCTTACAAGTTGTTGCTATCAATGGATATCCCGTAGTAACAAGAAATGGTAAGTCATCTTTTTCTCCATCCACTGTCGTACAAGTAAAAACTTATCCTTATCGAATTGGTGAAAGGTGTTTATCTGGAAGGCAGTTGCTAAGTTGCTCAAGGAAGGTAATTAAGCTTGGAAAAAAGGGAGAATCTCAAACAATTTTGATCAGATTGTGAATATTTAGTCCTTGTTAGAAGTGGAGAAAGCTGACCATGTTCTTTGCCACTTCTTGTAGATTTCTAGCATTGTCCCTATCCTTTGACCACGTTGTAAAATTTTCTGATTCGTGGCCTATTGTCTATGAGATGAAAGCATTACCCAGCATTGATGTTCAGGGTAATCCCACCTTTCATAGCTACCGAGGAAAGATTGTGAAGATGAGCACTGTTGGCTCGGGAATGGATGAGGAAACTGGCGCCAACGATTCAGCTCAGTCTCTTCGAGTCATTTACCGAACTTTGACTGGGAGAACAGGAAGGTTAGGAACGTTTGCCAAATCGGCTAGTTTTTTTACCATTCAGCTGACCTTAGTCGGTTGAGTTGAGAGGATTGGCCAGAGGGCGACATCAGGTGGTATGATTATGGAAGATCTTACAAGAGATAAGCGTTTATGGGAGGTAGGGAGAGGATTAGGGCTTGTTCCTTCCTTAGAAATCGATGCTGTCGCCTCAGTCATAGCGCAGGCTCTGGTGTCCAACGCTGCTGTTAACGGATTGGAACCCTTCACCATCAAGGAAGTAAAAATGCACACCAGTAATTTGTTCACTTTAAGTCGAATGTTATCTGTACGAATGAAAAAGGAAGGAGTGACAATTTATTGTCCGTTTTCTAGTGCGATGTCATTTTGTCAGATGTGGGGGCGATAAAAAGCATACCTTCCTTTTGGGAATCAGGGAATTTAGTTCATTTCGCGAATGCACTCCACTTGAAGGCGTAATAGGTAGACGAGCAGGATATGGACAGGAATAAGACCTCATATTTGTCACCCCCTTACTCCTCTGCCCTCCATCCCCCCTTTCCATACCATGGAATGCACAAAATTTTGTGAGTAAATTTGGTGGCAAGGGCTTTCGTGCTGATGTTAGGTGATGAAGATGGAGCAAGAAGAAAAGGATTTCTCTTGCCCACAATTCAGTTGAACCAGAGAGCTTTGATTAAGAGGGCAGGTCATGGGTTCCCTTGTTTGGTGTATAACAGTTTCAAAATTTCGTCTAAGTTCAAACAAATACACAAAAGGAAGGTGTTTTTTTGGGAGCTAAGCAGTGTTTGATATTTGGAGTGCATTGTAGAGAGTGGGTGAGGAGTGGAAGGGAGTGGGCGAATCACTAGTGGGACACAAACCGCCACAAAGAATCGAAAGGATCGAGCGCGCTTCGATGGTGTGGGATGAAGAATTGCGGAACCGAAAGTTGTAGTAAAGGCTATCTGTTTGGCATCTGTTGGTGCTGGTTGGACATGTGACACACAGTTGCAAACCAAGTAGCACATCGGAAATCGAGGATCATCACTCTTCGCCCCGATGTATTTCCCTGACACTGACTAGTTACAGACCATTGGGGGATATTAGGGTTTCTTGCTATATGCATAACTTTAATCAGGTTTAGAGGCGACGGGTAATTGTAAAGTGGCTAGAAGAAACGTACAGACTACTGCAAATCTCTCCCGGAATCCAAACACTGACCTGCGTTTCCCTGTGTATCCTTATGTTGCAGCCTGGTACATTGTGCGGCTTGTTCTTTTCATAGTTTCACTTTGTTTGGTGTGGTGTTTTAGGAACTTATTGAAACACATGCATTTAGTTGGCATTTTGTAAACTCAAGTTTTATTCTCAGCCGTCTATCCCACTTGATACTCCTCCATCCTCGTCCTTTCCCCCCCTTACATGTGTACAAATGCAAGTACAAACAAAAGCAATCCGCTTCTCTCCACGCCAAGCTATTACAGGCAAGGTGAATGACATACAGAGGGCCATTATCCTATTGGTATAAGCCCCTGCCTCCACTTCTTTTCTGCCTTTTTTTTTCCACAGGAGTTAGTGACTCCGGTGTTACCCAGTCGCAGGTGCGTACGGGTGTGGATAGTAGCGATGAGCGCTAGGGTGAGGCCATGCCGTGAATCCAGACTGTTTTGCAATCTGAAGAACTTAATTCTGTCCATTTGGTCTTTACTTTCACTTTCGATTTTTATCCAAGAATAGGTCACACGACTTTAAAATTTCAAATTTAGAAAATCAGTTTCAAATTGTCTTATTGTAATCTACTCCATTTTCGTAAGTAGTATGTGTGAGAAGCAGATAAGGGAAAGTTATGGGAAAAATTCAATGCACCAACTTGTGTGTTTTACTTAGAAGCACGCTGATCAAGACCGGGCCAAGTGAACCCCCTTCTCCAAATAAGGGCATCATTTCACATCCTTATTCATCACCCTTTCAAACTAACCACTATTTGCTCATTACGTTCTGTTGTAACCACGCTTGTGGCACGCATGTGTGGCTTACATAAAGAGCCTGTTAAATCGTCCTAATTTTATCATAACTGCCAATATGGGCACTAAAATCATCCTGGTTACAGTTTTCTTGTTGATTCTGTTTTGTGGTAATGGGGTTGTGCGGAAAGGTTGATTAAGGCATCCACTCTAGACTTGCGTGTAACGTTGTGCTGATCTTTTTAAAGGCACATTGTTTTGGCTTGTCTGCTGTACTGAACTCATGCAATATGCAAATAACGTAGGGGATTATGAGCCTTTCCAGACCTGCTAAAGTCTCACTTCTTTGGTATCTACTTGTCAATCAACCAGTCGTAGAAGAATTGCAGTGAGGGTCGGCATGGTTCCGTTTGGTCAACTCTTCTGTCATTGGGCTTTTGGGAGCAAACGCGTCTCATGTGAACTTTTCAGCCATCATTAGGATTGCGAAACACATTCTGAAGCAAATTTGTCGTGTTTGAGACAGCAGATGGGGTATTTAAAAACCCGCGCCTATCCAATCTCACCCCAGAAGTTTGTTATGAAACTCAAAACGTGTGGATTTAGTGATGAATTACAACATCGGCAGCGATGTCTGAACATTCTGTAAATATGTGACAACCTCTTTGCACTGCTTGTTGACTGCTTTGTCCCTCCTCCTAGTAAACAATTGCATTGTCCGTGTGGTCTGAGGTAAGTGGTGCCCAGAGGATTGTTTTAGTAAAAATAGCAAATGGGTGGCGAATAACTGGCCAACTTCACCCGCGTCATTGTCATTCCCTTCGCATTAGGTGACATAAGTGTCCACATGACTGCCATGACGGTGTCTTCCCAACTGCACACTCAGCAAACGGGATCGAACTAGCAGTATTGTCCTGTTTTATTTTCTCTGATAGAGCGTCGAGACGACCAAGCATTAGAAGTAGTGCATTTTAAAGAAGTACTTAGTACTCCGAGATCCAAAATTAGGTTTTTTCTGATAAACTCGAAAGATTTGGGCACTACGCATCGTTCGTGCCACTTGGATGTATAAGGCGGACTGATAGACAACAGACAGCCGTTCTAGAATTTAAGGGTACTGTAACTACTCACAATTGCATGAGTTGAGTGGAGCGTCCGGAAACAACTCTGAGATTGGGTTACATGGCGAGTTCGTACATTTCTGCCCGCTGGCAATACAATTTTTACCAATGGGGTGTACTCCATCAAGATATGATTTTCAAGGTGAAATGTTAAATATTGGAAGAATTTGTGTGAAGATGACCAAATCAGCCGTTTATTCACGTTCACTCTCGACGCTGATATGGCAATCAAGGCACTAAATTTTCCGTTTGAAAATTTGAAACACGAACGCGGGGACATGACGCATTGGTTGGAGATGGTGTAGTTTCATGCAATTTCTATGCTGTTTCAAAGTCTACTTGATGTGCTGCGAACTGCCTTGCACCACCCACTCTCCTCCTGTCTCACCCATGACCGCATCCTCATCCGCACTCTCAATCCTCTCATCCCCTTTTCATCTTACTCTTCACCGTGGCTTCTGTCTTGGTGCGAAGGGATTTGAAAGCCATTTTTTCCCCTTATAAGGGTTTTTAATGCCAACCATGACGAGTCATCCTCTGTACAGTCTTTTACTGCTTCTGTTCGTGCAACTCTTATTGCACCAGGTTTGATAACGTTAATCATTGAAGACCTGTCCCAAAGTTTATTCTCAAGTCAACAGGTTATTCTGTCCTTAATCTTTTGTACGAATTCAGAAAAGGCAGTTGCTTGTTCTCATCCCTCAACGTCTTTTTCATGACGGTTTTGTGGTTTTCACAAATGTTCCTCCCATTTCCCACGTTTTTGTCACCAATCTTGGATAGAGTGTAGGCGTCACGTATTTGTGCCGTGTAGTAACCAAAGCACCAGAGATCGTGGGACTACCGTGATTGGTTGGGGTGGGGGCTGGATCAGCAGGGTACCGTGATGATTGTAGACCGGTTTAAAAGATTTTGTTATCCAAAGAATTTGATCGATATATCGAGAGGATTAGTTACAAAGTTGATTTTCCATTGCCATGGCTACCCAACTGTCCTTTGTTTCATCAAAAAGTTTTGGTGTTACCGTTTTCTCCACTTACAACGGTTGCATCTACACTTAATGAGGGGTCAGTGAATGCGATTCGCAGGTCTGTCGCACCAGCTAACCGAACTTCTCCTAAACTTATACCTACCAAACTGAGTTCAAGAGAGAGGGAGGAGGGGGGGAGGTCGCAAGTCAAAAATTGTATTTTTTCCTTATTTACAGCATGATAGAAAGGTGCTGTTCGCTTTTCTCACAGTGCAATTCATTGGTGGATTTTGTAGCCAACTTCCTTTTTAACTGACAGTTGACTGTGTCAAATGGAGGAGGTAGCCAATTTGTCAAACAGAATTATGCTCGCAAGTATTGCAAGGCAGAAGATTGCCTCTGCTGCTGGTCCTCCTCCTCCTTACGCATTCAATGTTTCCATCAAAAAGAGCATGGCTAAAGGGTTACCTCTTGTAACTAACATCGATGCGGATCCCAAAAATCTTTTCTTTCCTTAAGGAGTTAACAACAACTGTTGCAACCTAAATGCTGGATTCACCACACGTTTAGGCGTTGGCAACATCTTAGAGCATGCTGTGGACATTAAGTGCTAAACTGTTGATTTTTCAGTGGTGGAATAACTATACGAGATTAGCATTCCCAACCAAAGGCTAGTATAAAATTTGGTCTTGCATCTGTGTGACTCCTACTTATCGCCTTGTTGGTTGCCTCTAGGTCAAGAGGTATTCTTTGCAGCTGCTCCACGCACATTGATGAACCACCACCACAATCAGCAGCAGCATCGTTATCAGTATCAGCACCATCAGTCGTCGCAACAGCTACAACAGGCCGCATCCACAACGCACCACTCAATGCCCTCGGGGATGTACAGCCTCAGTGGTGATCAGGCCTTGGTTGATCATGAGGGCACAGTTCGTCGTCTGAGCACTGCCCAACGTGAGAGGTTAAGTCAGGATTTGACGGTAGTGCAAACGAATCTTCATATTCTCAATGACATGCTCACCGAGCTCCAGCCTGACGCCATATCCTCGGATGACCTTGAGCTTCTGCAGGTGGGTTAACTGCCCAGGGTGCATTCACTGCCTGGGGTGCTTAATCCTGAAACGCCTTTTTTCTTCGGTTTTGGAAGTGAACCATAACCTCGTTGAACCAGTGCTTTGTCGTCCTTTTATTGTCAGATATTTTGACTTGACGAGTATTTACACTGTCAGACTGCTATGCTACAGGAGTTTCCTTGCGAAAGGAAACGCTTGGGGAGGGGAATATTGTTTAAGAATGTTATGTGATGGTGTCATATCTCGCTGTTTGTCAGGCCTACATTTTTGTTAACCCGGATGGTAATTCCTTTTGAATTAGACCCTCTAAAAGCATAAATTGCGGCCCATAATTTCCCATTACCACCCCTATCACCTCTTCTTTTATTATTCGATCCAACTGATGTTTTCTAGAGGCGTAAAATCAAGTTGTATAAGTCTGGCTTTTGGAGATGTTTACATAGCTGTCCGAGTACGTAACCAATCAGAGGAGACTGTGCACCTCTAGGCGAAATTCAGAACTTCCCTTGTCTAGGATGTGAATTTGATCTACCTCTCTCATTACCCGTTCGTTGCGTTACAATTGTCCTAGTTGAAGTGCTTTGCACGAACAAATGCAAAAAGCAGCATTCTGCAAATGTTTGTGCTCCATGTAAAGGGGGCGAAATCCGGTCGCTATTAAAACCTCTTTTCTTCGTTCTGCTACAAAAGTTCTTTTTTTGAATCGCGCCTCTACTTTCCTCTTCATTAACAATCGGTGGGGATTTTCTTTACCCTGTGGAACAAAATGTTGCATGCATGGCTTGGCCGGGAAGTCCACCAAATAGAGCATTCAAGATGTTCTTTGTAGAAAGCCAGAAACAGGTTTACTGCGGAGATCGCGGAGCAGTTCGTCAGAGCACATTGACGAGATGAACATTGTGGATTAAAAAACGGAAGGTCTAAAGACACGGGAAAGGGAGCTATCTGGTTTTCGAAAGTGGGGACGGATATATGGCAAGCGGGATGTGTTGGGAATGAGGCTGAAAAATTTAGCAGGATTTCCCAATTTGGCGCATGGTTTATTATTTTTTTTTGGGGGGGGATGAAGGGAGGAGGAGGTTTGGTAGAATTGGACAATACTGTGTATTTTTTGGCAGAGTAGAGGTTTATTGAAGTCATCTTTTGCGGAGCGGGCGTATCAAACTTCCGTATTTTCTGGTGCGCTTCAAGCTTTTAGCAGTTGACTGCACGGAAAAATGCGACAGGTGAATTGGCTGGCACTGAAACAACACCAAATGAATGCGAATGTAGCGATTCGAGGTTATTGCTTCGCCCAAGTGTCACAAATGTGTGACATGTTTGTGTTAACAAAATGATTACAGTAGGGAAGTTGGTGCAAAATTGAATGACATGGTCGTAACGGTGAAAAGAGGACAAGGAAGTGGTCAAACAGTGTTTTGGTTATTCAATCTGGAGGGAGTTACTTTCCTACAGCCTACTGGACCGAGGACAGCAAACATTTACTGTAAAAAGTGTAGAAGGCCTAACTGCAGGCATGGTATGTTCAAGCCATGGCAATGTCTGGGCCACTATTTCACCGCATTACTTTGGTCAATACTGATTTAACCATGTTTATTAAGGGGTTGATTGTATTGTCTGGACAAGACGTCACAACTAGGCGATACATATGGCATCTCACGTGTTCCCCACTCACAACTGCATCTCATTTCCCCATAAAGGAGATAGTTGAACAGCGCATTGCAACAAGAAGTGAAGACAGGCTGCCCCCGGGTCTGGGAGAAGCAGCGTCGACTACCTTTTGAGGTGCGTTGTTGAGGTCGCCCCAACACTTGGGTAGTACAACTGTTGTGTCACAGTAAACCAATTTTGAGCTCTGATATAAAGATTGCTCATTTGTTTCTTTAGGTCTCACCACCTCTAGATACGTTTTAGTACCAAACCATAAACTTGCCGGAAGGGGAGGGGGTGTTTGTTTTCTCAAAAAAGGGGGTGCGTATCTGATAAACCGGCCAAGCGACCATATTGTCAAGAGGGAATGACAGGCAAGTGGGCCAAGTGCGTACAGGAACCCTGGTTGGCCTTTATGAACCATTCTTGAAACAAACAAAAGACTATCGTTGCATAGGTGGAGTCATTGAATGGTTGAGGCAAGGAGTTGCTTGCTCTAACAACAAAGAAAACATTAACTTAACGTCTACATCCTTGTTTTTGCTTCCCTTAGCGCTTGATGCACGCACACATAGAGTGATGGACTGATGGTTTTGTTGATTAAAATAGTGTTTTTTGTTTACCTGTTGCAGAGGAATTGGGCGGGGGAGAGCGGGCATTCCAGTTATATTGAACTGAGACGAATTGTTTGTTTATGTTGTGTTTATCCGTTCCCGTACTACGAGGTGGCAACTAAATGCATGGAAGTAAGTCGCGTGCACTAATCGTCCGCAGGTGACTTTTTGAAATATCCACCTACTGTACCACCCATTTTTTTCTTCTCAAGTTACTTTGTCATCTTTATTGGTGATTTTATAACAACGACATTTCATCAAGCTTTTACCGAACAAATAAATTGTCTCACACATTAATGTCAATTTGATTACCACTTGAAAGGATAACCAGAGGCTTGTAGACAAAATAGGAGCTGGGAAATGTGTCGCCTCTGCTCTTGATTTCATTTTCATAGCTAAACCGAAATCATTAAAACTGCAGACACGGGATGGAGGGGCAAATCGAGAGAAACACAAATAAGCGAACAACCATGAATGAACATTTCGTGACTTGCAACGGATGTTCTAGCGACAGCGCTAACAATGAGGTGAGGTGGTAACGGAAATGTTGCAACCCGTTCGACCAGCGGAAAGCAACATCAAACGGGCTAGGCTGAGGTCTTAGTGAGGGCGAATGATAGTCAACAAAATGCACTGCCTTGGACACATCTCTTCCGTCACTTTTTAGGCATTTATCTCATCTAAAAACTGCTTTTTCATTTCGTAGACACAAATCGTCCATTCGGACAATCTGACCTTCTCAGTGCCACAATGTTTTCCCCCATGCCTCATTAACAGCATAGATGGCAAATGATCGGCCAAGTGTTCGTAGGTTTCACTGCCTCTTTCGGCGTTGAGAAGCCTTTTTAATTGATAACATCCTTGCTTGTCGGCCTAAAGTGATCTAGCGATGTTCGGCAAGCTCTGAAGGCGTTGCTCTCACGATCGTCCATCTTTCAGTTTATGCTTTTGGAAGTGTAGTATGAGAAATTTTCCACCAAGACGAAATTGTTGGCAAATTTAACCTAAATTTTACCTTCGTTTGTCCACCGTATTTAGTTACTGTCGCATCCAGTACGGAAGGTGTGCATTCCTTAAGTCACGTATTCATCATTGCGGCCTGCCGCAACGTAGCGACCTGCCCCAAACTCCGTTGCCACCATACTTTGGGATTTGTTTCTCCACCTTCACCTCAGAGTTGCAGGTGCAATTCCATCTGCTTTACTGCTGCCATGTCAACTACACACGATGTACTGGCGCCACTTATCGTACGTCTGAGAACAACTGACTTGTCACTCTTTTGCGCCACGCCCCTGACGAAAGCATTGAAATGGATTAGCGATACCAAATGATATTAATTTACTGAGAGGTACACAAGCGTCCTGCAATTGTCCGCGCTGCCATGGTTGTTACTAATTAATGCCACATCGTAATAACATTGAGAGATAAGGCCAGACACAGCTGATCCATCGGCAGAAGTAGTGGTCATTTGTTTTAGTTTCCCCCGACTTCACTTTCTTTTTGTCTTGTTGCCCTGCAGGAATTAAACGAGACCTGTCGCATGATGCAACAACGAGTAGCCGAGTTCTTATCTCAAGTTGCTGATGATGCAGTCACTTTGACTCTCATTCAACTGAACGATGAACTTAACAGCGCCTTCCAACGGTAAGTCATAAGGATATCTTGCGACACTTTTGGTGGTGAGACTTTTTTTTGGGTCTACCAAAATGCGACCAGCAAAACCACTCTACCCACTCAATAATGACTGTTGTTTGAACATGCTCGTTAGTGTGCTTTTAGGTGACCAAAACAAAGTAATTTTCTACTTTCTAATTCACTCACAACCAGTTGGACGATAATCTGTGGAGAGGCGATTGTCAAACATCACCTTCATTGGCGACTTGCATATTGGCATTCTTTTAAGGGATGACTTCGAAGCAGAGAAAAACTTTCGTAGAGGAAAAAGAGGGCTGAGGGGTTGCGCCACGCCTTATCTGAATCCGTGCGCCATTTGGGTTTTTGCGCTCCCTCCTCTGCCTCCGCGACAGCGCATTCTGCAAATTTGTCACTTTTTGACAGTGCTGAAGTCAAATTTGCCTTTTTGTTAGGAGGGGGAGGAAGAGAAGGAAAAGGAAAACTTTTTTAGCCATGGTTGACACTTAAAAGTAAATTGGCGGAGTTTTTCTTTAAAAGAGGCGAACAGTTTCTTCTTCGTCCTCAAACCCTATGCTCAAGCAGTGAGGCGTGTTGTCAGGATATCCGTCTGTCTCCTGCCCTATCACCTAGTCTGCAAATGTTTTTGAACGAGCGAAATGATTGTAAGGGCTTTAAGGAAGAAGGACAAGTTAGGTGTGGGCATAAAACTGGCACTTATGTTTGCATAGACAGGGGTGAAAAGCCTCAAGTAAAAGGTTTATGTGTAATGAGAAATGAACCCGCTACTTCTTTTGCAAAAAAATGTTGTAAATTGTTATTGCCTTCTCTTTAAAAGCGTTATTTTAATGAAAAAAAAAATGGTGCTGAAAATGGAATCAGTTGACGTCTTTTGGCGGGAAAGCGTTACTTGTTGTAGACTGAGCTGTTGATCTCGGGAAATTGGGGCATTTACGGACCAAGCATTTGTTTATTAACTCATACTTTTTTTAAGGGCGAGAAAATTCATTGGTTCACAAGTGCCCTCCATCGTTGGAAATCCGTTTGTGTTCACCAAATTAAACAGTCACCTTCAACTCACTTCCTTTATAAGTTGGGCTAAACTGAAGATTCACTTTCAAGTGAAGCGCTGGGCTCTGATGTCCTGTTCCTTCGCCCAGTCCATCGAGAGGCTGAAATTTTTGCGCATAAAAACCGTGCAAAATGGTTCTATTAGTCTTCCACACTACGCATTCTCCTTGCCTGTGTTCTCGCCGAATTTGGAGTCGGCCAGAATGGTGGTGGAAGGTGATACAACTCACCGACTCACAGGCGATCTGATACCCTAGCAGCATGTTGGATGGTGCGCTTCTACGTAAAGTGCGAATCAACCCTCACGAGGCTACTTTATTCTTTATAAGTTAAGTAGGAAGACCTTCTTACACAATCTGGGGGAGATGGTTGACGGAAGGCTCTGTATGTTACCTAATTGCCTTTCTGCCTATGTCCTCGATTCCTCCTGATCAGAGTTGACTGCGATCGGCTCATTTTGCAGCTCAAAGAGAGTAAACCATTTGCAAAAAATAATGAGATTTCATCCACTGTTATTCGATTATTCCACTCCAAGTACGCAGATAGGCATCTAATTTAACAATAACTTACTTGAGGGCGGCTAATTCGAAACTCAAGTTATTAAACATATTCTGTTACTTTATATAACGATTCTCCTTCTACTCGCGCATCCCTAAAAGGGAAGCGAATTGCCATGGCAAATGAGAATCTCCCAAAGGTCATGTCTCTGGTCTTTCTCACGAATTTTGGAACCAAAGCGCCAAGTTGGGATGAGCTAGATGATATTGCCTTCTCTTTATGGAGCCTAGCAATTATGCCTTGGGTTGCAGATCTCGCTCCTTGCCACTCTTCTCCCTCTTTCACTCTTCACTCCGCCAACCGTCTCGATCTTCTGCAAACCTCGATAAACGAGGAAGCGAAGCTTAGTGCATTCTCACGCTTTGACAAAAAAAAAATGTGATCCGCAGTGTCATTCCTTGCACTTTCGGTATGCAACAGACATTTGTTTTGCATCTGTCCATAATTGATTATTAAAGTGAAAAGGAAGCACAAGTGGAAGAGTTGTACGCTCCATTGTCGTCGGCTCCAGATTGGCAGCATTCATCCCCACCCACTCGTAAGTGTACAATAGTTTGTTTGACAAAAAGCTGGCTTTTGTTGGCTTGACAATACGTAGGCGAGGTGTCACGATTTGAGCCTTGAACCCTCATTGAAGTGCGCCTTGAGAGGAGAGAACTGGTCACATTTTGATAAGGCATGGAGGGATGTAGTAGCTTGGTCATTAACATTCATCAAGGTGAAAAGTGTGAATGATTTTTTGGTTGCCATGGCTAAGCACAAGGTAAGGTTTTTTTTCTACACTGTAAAAAAAAATAATAAATAAATTTTGCTACAGGATTTGGTGGTGCTGAGAGTCAAACAAAATGGAAAGGTTCTTTGAGCGGTGTTACATGGAATGAAGATTTAAACAAATCCCAGCTTTTTTCCTTCTATTCCGCTGACAGTGACGTGAGAATGAAACGGCCTTAATTTTGAAGTACTTTAAGATTTATTCTCCATGGGAAGGGGTTTGGTACAAAGGAAAAGTTCTGAACCACAACGCTTTTTAGAGTAATGGGAATTACTCGTTCTCCAGTCAAATATGAACTGGCAATGCCAAATAGTGTCATCACGAGGGCTTCGTTTGAATGGCAGCGGTGGGGCGGACGCCAGGCCTTCCGTGGCGTGTGGGGAGGGCGGGTGAGAGGAGGCGCTAAGGCCGGTAATGGGGGGCCTTGGGAGGGCTGTTCCAATGAGGTAAGCTGCGCCAGTTGAGGTCAACAGTGAACTTCACGGGAGAAGTGACTTGACCTGAGAAGGATGCGCGTTAAATGAGATAAACATGTTCAAGGCAGTAAATGAAGGCAGACTGAAGTTTTAGAAACTCAGGCTTGGGATGCTGTTTCTGTATAATTTCGTTGAGACAGGTGAAAGAGCTAACTGCAGTTATTTTTTACCTCATAAAAATGTAGGCAGTATCCTTTGAGTGTCCAAGTTACCACTAGTATTGCCAGAGTCGAATATAACGGTGTGTGTTGTTTAATATAATTCCTCATTTTAAAAAGCATTAGGCTATTTAAAGGCGCTAAATTGCCCAAATGCAGAGGATAGGGGGTAAGGACGAGACAGTCTGTGCGCCCTCTAATGCATCGTAGACGGTTGGCTCTAATCGCCTTTGCTCTTGCCATTTGATGTTGCTTGTTTTGGTGGGGCGGATTGAGGCATTTCCATTCGTAGACCATTGTCTCATCCCATCACGTCACACCCCACTTTGTTGTCGCTGGCATTGTCATTGCCTTGTCCACGTGCTGTTTGTTCACCGTTGTCGGCCTAATTATCTGTCTGCGTTGTCCATTCCCCTCTCCGTCTGACTGCAGCCCTAATGACTTCGGCTCAACTGTAACTATTGTTATGACCAAAGAGGCTAAAGAGGTGGAGGCATTGTTCCTGCCTGTTTTCTCTTCTGTAGTCTTCCACTCAAAAACAGTGTGGAACTTTTCTCCGCACTTGTAGAGCTATGTTCATAGAAATGAGGACTTTTTCAGTACCTCTTTTTGATACCTTACCTCTCGCAGCGTCCTTGTGGATGAATCAGTGAATGATGAATGAATGGTTCCCGGTCATGACAGCATTTATTTTGAGAGAGAGAGAGAGAGAGAGGTTGACTCCATGATAACCAGATGTACTGGTGCGATTTGGATAGTGGCGAAGTGAAAGAGTTGAAAGTGGAGGTGGTTAGGTCAATGTGATTTCATGGCTGCAGCGACGTTAATGGCGCTCCTATGTTTTTTTTTCATTTTTGCTTTCTAAAAGGAACCCACTTAGCTATTTAATGAAGGAGTTATGGACTATTAGGGTTGTCTGTTCTGCAAAGTCAAAGGGAAAGGGAAGAATTAGTTGAGGAGGCCACTTTAATAAGCCCGCTGCAGATAGGTGGCGCCCAACAACTGACCCTGTTGTGGTAGGACGAACGGATCAACAACTCAAGTAACGAATTTGTTTAGGGTCAATGTAGTGGGCTGCTCCTCTCCGATATTCACCTAGCAAGTATATCTCAGAGACACTGTGACGCAGCTAGCATGTAATGAGATGTCTGCCACATGCTACCTCGTCTCACAGCAAGTCACAATTGTAGAGAGTGCATTCATAAATAATCTACTTCTGTATTATTGAGGTATTACCCCTTACCCGTGTCTAGGAGTAGGAAGGAGGTAAACACGAAGTGAGCCGACCGTCACATCTACGATGTTTGATTGTTCTGATGCGGCTGTTGCTTGTAAACGAGGCGACGTTCCTTTACTTCACTGTGGGTGCATTCCGTTTGTGTTTTGTGCTGTCATGCGCTAGACCGACCTTAATTTTGATCCGTCTTGTTCCTGCCTACGTTCTCATATAGATGGTAGTGCAAAACTAATAATTAAAAGACAGCACATTGGTAATGTTTCGTTTAGATTGTGGTGGTAGGCTTTTTATTTGTGGCTGTGTCTAGCAGCAATGCATTCATGGGCCATGTTAATGATGTTGAAGGAAAAAATCTCGACATGCATCTTATTTTATTCAATGGGTCATCGCAGCTCTATTTTGGCCTTCTCATTTCACGACTCTGTGATAGTGGTAGGAAGAATGTAAAGTCCTCCGAACGCACTGTCCACGGCATTGATTGATTACTTCTTTGCTGTTCTGTTGGTTTTTACTCTTTACTGACCTTCGCACTTGTTGTAGCACAAAAAAGCAAGCAATTTCAATCCATATGGGAGAGTTATTGTGGGTGGTATTTCCAATCCCTGTAGGACAATTTGCTACCAACGGTAATGGGAATGAAGTGTGCTAGCCGCATTTTACGGCGGTGTTCCTATCGCCATTTTGGGCTCATTGTTTCCATGATCACTTAGTGATGGTAGTCGCACTGACTGACCGGGGAGGGTGGGAAAGACGGAGTGTTGGCGTTTGGTGAGATGTTGAAGAGATGGGCAGGATGTGAGCATGCCTTTATTTGCCCCTTCGACTCTGTTTCCTTCCATTGCCTTCATTCACCCTTTGCAATGTGGAGATGTGCTCGAAGGTCTGTTTGAGGCTGGAGGCAGTTCCTGCCTTTTGACTGGGAGAAAGATAATCCTTTGTATCTGTGAGCGTAGCGTAGAAATAGGCGAGGTTAGGCCTCTCATTTTTTCTGTTCTGCCCCATTAGTGGTTAGAAATTATTGAACACATGTCCAAATGTGTGGACCAGAGCCTTGTCGACGGCCTTGCACAGATCAATTTGGGAGAATTTCAGAAAGACTCCATACTTCGTGACGCATTGGGATGACATGGAACTAAACAACTTTTTGTTTCTTCTTCAGTTATGAACGGTTTGAACGCTATCGTCTGCGTGCTATGCGGGCTCAAATTGCCAATCGTGATATGGGTCAGTCGCGTCCAGCTCTGCCCTCAACACAGATGGTGCCGTCGCAACAGCTCCAGTTACAACCTCCACCAACAGCACAGCAGCAGCAGCAGCAGCAACCGCATCATCTCCATCTGGGTCTTCCCTCCACTTCAGGTATACCATCTCATCAGAAAGATGACCATGAAAGAAGTGGAGGTGGCAATGGTGGGGGCATTGATGAAGACGAGGATGATGACGATGACGAACTTTTGGATGCAGTGGCAGAACAAACACAAGTGAGTTGCCTGTTTGTTTGTCGCATTGACATTCATCGCTACTTAGGCTAGTGTAATCGCTCAGATCAACGCAGATCACGTTTACTGCAACCTCCTACCTATGGCAAAGCCTTTTACAATTACTTTTTTTGCGGTTCGAGACTGATAGTGTTTGGAGGCTGACTTCTTTGACGGTGGAGTTGTAAGGTGGCCACACAAATAATTGGGAGTTTGAACGGTTTGTTGGCGGAAAGTGAGAACATCACCGCCTTACTGGTTGAAGATTGCTGCTTATTTTAATCGTCACTCTGAGCATTTGTGTCTCTACGATTTTGCATAAAGCGGGTGGCGTAAAGGTTGTCAGTTGCTATTCCTTAGGACTGTTTCGGTACTTCCTCCTGTCCAAAGGAGAAGTTCGAAGGTCCTGTTTTGACCTGAACATATACTGTTGGTGGATCACTTGATGGATGTTTCACAGGCCGTAAATAACTTTGAATTTTAAGATCCCTTGTCATTTGTGAAGCGCTACTCCCAATCCTTCCTCTAGTTAATCTTACTCCTCAGCTATGCTCATTCCATTTGAACCCTTGAAATCTAGGAACGGCGCAGGGCGCAAAAAAAGCAGGGAGAAATGATTGGTCCAAAATAAAGTGGATCTAGTAAAGGCTCTTGGTTGAGAGTGAAGACATACCATTACGTCCACTATTTCTTGTGTCTCTCTTTCTGCCCATTGCTTGCTAGTTGTTAGCCTGTGGCTACTTTTGGTGATGCTTTTGTAACATCTCTCTCCAAAATTCATCCATCTGCTGCCTCATGTGTGGTAGATTCATTTGCTGGTGTCAGTCAACTGGTTCACAAACGCTTTCTTACCAAACGTGAGTGTAGCAATTGAACTTGGAAGCTTCAGTCTTCTCATCTTGCTGTTGCATTTAATTTGGGCGATGAAGAGCACAACATCTGTCAAAAGTACTGAGGCGGGGACAGCTTTAGACTTGTTCTTTTTATTTATCCTTTTGTTTTTCCCCCTTAGCGCAATCCCCACACCACCGAGGTGGGTGATTCAGGATTGGTGTCTGTGGCTGATTGGTCAGATAATGCCTTGGCGTTGCAGGTTCTAAGGCTCAACGACACTTCCCATGTGAGTCGTCTGGAGGAATAAAACGCACTTTTTGTGTCATTAACATGCTCCTTTTTGGTTTTTTTATTCTTTTTGCTCAAAAGTCAGTCATTTTTGAAGACATTTCTTGTAGCTTATCTAGATGAAATAAGTCAACATTTAGGAGTAAGGAATTGACATTTTTTGGCTTTCTATATTGCAGACTTCCTGGAACACCGAATCAAGCGCCGGTAGGTCATCGTTTTTCCATTTCTTTTTCAAAACTTAACACAGTTTGAGGCTTGAATATTTCTCCTCCCTCTCCGTTGATCGCCAATAGCTCAATTGGAGCGAGTATTTGGCGCGGGCTACAACGATCTCACCATCCTCTCTACTGATGCATCGACAGCGCTACCAAACGTTCAAGCGTTGCCAGGACCTCAGTTGGAACCACTTCAGCCCCAACCGGCTCCTCTTCCTCCTCCTCCCCCTCCTCCTCCTCCCCCTCCTCTTCCTCCCCCTTCTTCCAAGGCACTGCCTCAACTGCCGATCAAGAAAAGAACTCCCTCGGAGGTTCGCAGATTGGAGGAGGCTTTACTCCTCTTTGACTCTTGAGATTAGATGTTGTGTGACGAATGTACTGACAATGTGATGTACATATATGCACGAGTGATTGATGGTTTAACTCGACGTCTGCAACTTATGCTCCTTATTCCCAACTCGACCCCAACCACACACATCGATACCTTCTATCTTCTCAAGCTGCATCCTTCTTACCATCTTTCTTCATGCATTCTTCGCCTAAAGTTCATGTACTTATTGAGGAAGAATATGCGTAGAATATCGGAGATATCACTGCTTCAATATCACATCTGGCAGATAGAGGGGTGACGGGAGGCTTTACGTTGGGTAGGCGTTGCCAACGTAAAAGCAGAATGACTTGTTACACAAAAATCTGGTTAATCGTTGTCTGCCTTTTTTAGTTTGATGTAAAAGGGGGCGACATCTGCTCGTTGGAATGGCAAGCTTATAGACTCGCTACATGCTAGTGAGTAGTGAGGTTACCACTTCGGGTCATAATACAACCTCCACATATTGTAGCGATGTTCAAGGGACTGATAGTAAGTGGTCTGTTGGCTCACCATTTGACCGGTGGTCGTACAAGCTAACCGGTCGACAGGGAATGGGGTTTCGAGGATGTAAATCAACTGAGGGGCGGCATCATGATAATCAATCAGTGAATGTTACCGTAAGTTATTTGGCCATTTTTAAGACATTTTGATAAAGCATCTTTACTTGAAAAGTATAACTATGCGATGGTAAATAATCTGCTCTAATCATCGACAAACAACCACCGCAGACATAACTGGTAATTAGAAGATAACAAATATTAATTAATTCATCACCGCACCTTTTTCTGCCGATCAAATCTTATCCATACCGCGATCACCCTTTTTAAGATGTGAAGCGCCTTTCAAATTAACGCACCAATCGTGCACAAGCAGTGGACCAATCGGGTGCGCCAGTGGAGGGGAGTGCCGGAACCCACCAACCCGAGGACGAGGCAAGTTCAAGATCTAATCGGAGATTCAAATTGGGGATGTTGACCCAAATTTACGACCGCCATAAATACGGTATTATTTATTGGTCGAAGAGCGGAACATTTGCCTTGATTAAGTCTCAGAAATTCTCGAATATCAACGTGAAATGGAGATCCGCTGGGCTTGAGCGAAGAATACCTCTCGTCAGTTTGTTATTCGGTGACTTTTACACGACAGTTTCAATGTTTGCAAAAAATGTGGAATTATTCAGTGAGCAAGGCTTTTTAGTTTGGCGACATTTCTAGTTAAGATTGCCAAGTCTTAAGTGAATGAACAAGTTGTTTGGAAAGGCATGGTGGGGTGTAGGCTCCATTTCTAATTAACTTGTGCCTTATTATGGAGGAAGTTTGCGTGACAGAGGCCATCTAAATATAGGCGTGCGAAGTGCCCTTCAATCCACCCAACTGATTTTTCCGCTCCTGATTCCCTCTACTGGCTTGAGACGATTTGAATAACTGGGTTTTAGAATTAAAATTATGCTTGCTATGTGTCCCTGCTATCCTTCCTTTCCATAAGGCAAATGCAGCAGGACAAGTCAACCCTTTACAATGGTGCAAAAGGATGAAAAATGGGATCCAGTTTGGTAAATATGTTAACAGTCTGAGAGGAGTTCGATTTAACCAATAGCCAAGATAGAGAACACATTTTTTAATGCCTAGTCGGCAATAATGGCCACAGTTGTCATTCTTCACCACATTTTTACCAAATGTTTCACCACGATTTTGTGATTTATGCTTTTTTCCGTCAAAATAAGGACAGTAGTAGGGAAACGCATGGCATGCTTACGAAGACGGTTGGAAGTGAGATGGTGAGACAGTGTACACGATTAAAAAGCCATGACAGGCTTCACCTAATCATTCAGGTCTTCCGGCAAAATGAATGGTCTTAACTGCTGCGAATAACAAGGCAGTGTATTTTTCTGCTCTTAAGACCTTTAATAGCGTTTTGGTCAAAGGGGGAAGATTTAAAGGCGGACCTTTCACCATCTCGCAAGCAGCTACAAGTGAGCGAGGGGAGGGAGACACGGCGGTGTGGTGCCAGTCGAGTGGGGTTCATCACGGAATGCTACACCAATTACCAAAGCAGTTGTCATTATGGGTCCACCACTTCAGACTTGTATGCGATGCAAAAGTTACATTAACGGCCATTCAATTTGATGCCTCTGATACCACCTTTGCCAAATACTCCTACAATAAACATGTTAGAGCTGTTCTACAGTTCACTTTTCTTCTTCCCACATTAGGAGAAGGAATCGCAATCTCTTTTAGTATCCACCGCCCTTTTCACTCGCCAAAATCCAGTGCAACAATGAGCTCTTGCGTTGCCACACAAAATCTCTCGTTTTTCTATTAAGCCACCCTGTGACAATCACAAGCAAATCAAACATTAAATCACTGCAACATTGGCTGAGGCGCAGATAAGTAAATGACATGCAGCAAATGGCCCATAATCTAAGCTGCGTGATCGTCTGCTGAGGCATAACTTCACCCCTGGCAATTCTGGCCGATCGCCTAATCTTACGGCGTAGCTATTTGTCCTTTCCGTGCGTTCGCGGTGGAGTGTCCTCCATACTTCACTTCATTGAAACCTTCTCGGATGGGACTTGCAACATCACAAAAATGTCAGAACTTCATTTAGGCAAACTGAGTACCTCGAAGTGCCTATTCATACCGCTGAAGAAGGTAAATGGAGAGACTATAATGCTAGCAACGACTCTAATTCATACCTTTTGAAGATGGAGCCACCGCGTGTGCTTCAGAGAGACCTCATTTGTGAGGACAAGATGGCCAGTTTGCTGGACAGAGTGTCAGAAATCTCAGCTTCTCAATGTGATTCTTTAGCAGCGTACACAGCACACGCACTTGAAATACGCAGATGCTGCGTTGCCTTGCGAAAAGCGTTTGTTGAGTGCACCAATTTTTTTTCAACACATTTGCTCACTCAGTCTCCACATGAGACGTGGGGCGATTTGAAAGCTGAATAATTGGTGTTCATCAGCAACGTATTCTTCAACGCTACCACAGAACATCGAGACAGGCCATAATTCGACTTAAACGCGGACATCTGGAAGGAGGTTCACATTCAAACACCGGATTTGCTGAGACACGAATCGTATTTTCTGCCATACGACGCATATTTTTCACGCATTAAGACGGTAAATCGGCACACACATTTTGTATTTTACCTTCCCTTTTCACACGAACGGTTATCATTCAACGGCTTCTCGTTCTTGTTTTCTCAAAAGTTCCGATGCCAGAGTCGTTGGGGCTTCGCTTTGGTTGATTTGGAGGTCCACATTGAACCTTTTTAATCACGAAACGCGTCAGAGACGAGAGCCACTTCAAACCCATTTGTGTTCATTTTAACACGTCTGTACAGCTGTGTGCGAGGCGAATTCCGTATTTGTGAAACATGTAAAGTCGTCGAACAAATAAAATCTTTAATTTCAGTTTGCAAGCCACTCAGGCAAGGGTGAAAGAACTCGAGCCGCCATTCTTTCCTATGCAAGTGAACAAGAAGGAGGACTTGGCAATTTTTGGGCACCAAAATTAACTGTAACGAAATGCTTTCCTCATTCTTCTTCCATTTCCTTTGGTAAATTAAGACAGGCACTTCAATGCGCGCCATGGGTAAGCAACAACTTTGACTGTTACTTCACACTGCATGGAGAAAAGGTGTTTCCTTCCTATTCAAAGGCAAAAGTAAGGGTGGTTGTTGAATATACGGAGTGCGAGACAATTCCCACTGATAGACACGATGCATTTGAGATGGCCACAGTTTCAGTGAAAAGGAAGAAATGGTGACACACCCACTAACCAAAGGTGATTGAAAGGAGATCAGACAAAAGAGAAGTCTTTTTTTCAAATCGGCTCCACTTACAGCATCGCTTACTTCATCCACTCCAAGTGGTCAATCACAAATCAACAGCCGGAAGTGGACTTCAACCGAATTGGAGAGATGAAGCAATTTATTTAAGACATGTCCTCACAGTGTGACCAGATGAAAGTGGTCAAGTCAACAAATTCCTATGAGCTGGTAAACTTGAATAAATGACAGTGAATTTGCCCCTTTGAAAAGGTTTTACTCCACAGAACTTATCTATAATATACGATTTCGAATGACATTTGGCTTCCAACGTGCCTGCCATGTCAAAATGGAGGGTCCATCACGAGCAGCAAAAGCGCCACTAAAAAAACTAACAAAAAAGCGAACTAAATGTCAATTCGTAAAAAATGTGATGCGTTTTGATAAAAAAAATTTACCATCAAAACTATCATGATTGAGTTGCCTTTTCTTAAGTCTTCACAAACTGCTCCACCTTGATCACCCCAAAACAGGAATCAGTCACATCACAAACGGAACCACCGACAACGAAGCAAAACAAATGCGCAAGCATCCCGTGGAATCCAGTGTAAGTGCCCCGTATGAATTTGGCCACCATAATTTGCACCGCCTGTCTCCCCTTTGAAGCATGCATTCTTCAATGTCACCAAAACGAATCATCTCAGTCAACTGCGTTCAAAGAGAAATAAGTCCACGAGACACACATCAACTGCTTGCCATTTCAAATGGCCGTAGCACCTCCCATTCCCT